TCGGATTATTACTTGCTCCGGACTTTACATTTCTTAAACGGTAAAACGTTTACTTCGAATGAGGATGTCAAAAATCACTTGGCTCAAGTTTTTGGTGTGAAATCTTACTACCACCAGAAAGATGACAAAAGGCATTCGACCAAAATGGTCAATATACAATATAATTCAATCAGATATTTGTAAATTATAAGGAAATTGTCTTTTTTCACGAAAAAAGAACGAAATTACTTTGTGAACAATTCAATGGTCTGAACGAGATCGCGTTTGAGATATTGCACGATTTTTATTAGGAAATAGAGCTGAACAAATAATTTTTATCGAAAACATTTTGACAATAATTGTCAGATATAATGAACGTAAAATTCGCCATTTTGATGGGTTTGATCGTTCTAGTGTTATCAGAATTTTCATTCGTAGCGTCTGAATTTTGTGTAGCGCAACATTCAAAATCAATTACCTTGACGAACTTCTTGCCAGCTTCGTCGCTTAGTTTTTCAAATATAATCGCGGTACCGTAATTTGGTAGCGCCGGTTCTGTGAAATTGTGAGCTCTCGCGAATCCAGCGATATTTGTCTCGTGTCCGCTGTACAAATAGATTTTCCGCGGTCTTTTGCGGCCCTCGTTCATTTGTATATTTTCGATAAATGTCCTGATGAGCGGGCCTCCGTTTAAACGTTTTAGTTGCGTCGTGTGTGAGCGAATTTCGTATTCGAGTATCACGATGGATTGCAAGGTCTTGATCACGTCCTTCGTACACCATTCGGGTATCGTCAAATTCATGCTTTTCTGTAAAATCAATTCGCGCATAATTAAAGAGGCGTGAAAGTTGGAGAAAATGCTTCGGACACTCAATTGCTATTATAATTCCCCACCGGCGACTTAATAAATAAGTTAAGAAACGTCCGACTGTACCTGTGACGCCAGGTTATTATAAATTTTGTACCCTCTTGTCACGTTCACTTCGGTTATTCCAGTTTTTTCACTCAGAAAGTTCAGGAAATCATCGTATTGCGAAACTTTCCTACGAATTTCTTCTAAATTTCGTACATTTTTTAGTGCTTCTAAATATCTGTGACAAAAGCATACATGCATTACAGAGAGTCTACATGATCATCTGTTATCCTTATCGATCGCTTGTAGGTATTCTTTTTGAGATAAGAGAGCACGGAATGTGACACTTACATTGTCATAAAATCGGGTTTCATCAAATAATCCACTGTCTCCGGTATATAGTGTATTGGTATCGGCATCCATGGCATTCTTTTGTTCCATGCTTGCTCTGCACTTGGAGGGTAGAGTGCAGCCAAAACTAACTGTAGAGACATCTTTGTCCTGTCAACATCCGTACTCTGAGCGTACAGGTCAGTGGGATGGTAAACGTCTCCTAAGAATTTGTCATAGCGTTTTCTTAAAAGTTTTCCGAGACCATATTCGGTCACTTTTCCCATCTGAAAAGAGAATATCGTTAATTGTAATTCTGGTAGAATTACATTTATAAACTTGTGTCTTATTCACACTTTTCTAACAATTATACATTTGTCAACTGTCCGAGTCCCATTGGTTCGTACACCGATAAATCGTTCGGATCTTTCGGCCAGAGTTCTTCTCTAATTGGTGTTCGTTCTCCATGTCTAAACAACTGGAAGAAAACGGAAAGTTCTATAAAACATGACGAGTTTATACGACGTTTTCATTTTCGTTTCAACCGAACCGTGGCGAAACAAGATTCGCATGACGTGGTCCAAAGAATGATAACATATCCAAGATAATACGTGGCAATTGAAACGATCGATTTAAAGTGAAATACGTACTCACCACTTGCACCAGCTGCAGCTTTAATTCTGCTTTCACTGAATAGTGAAGTAAACCTGGTACACAGACGAGTAGTATTAAAATTAAATTCAAACGCTTCATGTTCTTGGAAGACAGATCTAAGTAGAAATGTAAGACTTCGTGACGCGAAGTCTGGAACGTTTCACCGCTAACTGTACGTATTTATGTAACGCGTACTATAGAACAGAACAAAAAGACATTATATAGATGGCTCAAGTCACGATAAATTGATATATAATAGTATCTCTGTGGTCGCTAACCATTATATCCGCTGGACAGATGCGCTTTTACACGCCGCAGCTCGAATAAAAGACGGACACGTGGATTAGCCGCGAAGAGCATGTTGACACGCTTCAAAAAATTCTTTATTTCTTACTTGACTTGGTTGTAAACATAAGTTTATACCCATTTTATTTTCCATAATCTTTAGAGCGAAACGGAAGTCTCTAAATTATTTAAAAGATATTTAATGCAGTGCGGAAAATAAGTTGACGAATATATTAAATAATATTATAAATATATTAATTAATATATTTTAATATTATCATATCAAATACATTAAAATATATTAAATATTGATTTTAAATCACGCATTTTATATTATATAATATAATATAAAATTAATAATATTAAAATATATTATAATTAATATATTTATAATATTTCCTTATTTAGAAAGTAACAAGTTGGCAAAATTAAAATTCGAGAATTGACATCTTCCGAGAGATCACAAATATTTAACAGGCATATGAAAGGAGAAACGCTTAGAAGAATTGCGTCAGATTTTAATATCACAGTAGATGGTGTTAGAGAAATAATAAACCGTCTGGAAAATAATACTACTGATACCCGAGAAAAACTTCAGTACGACAGGATCGTATGATAAAAAGAGAAATAGTGAAAAACCATTCAATTTCTACGAAACAATTAAAATCAGAGTTGTGTCTTCCCATCTAAGAAACACAAATTCGAATGCGAATTAAATAAACGGGATTTCATGATTGAGTTTCGAGAAAAAAATCATTCATTAGTCAACTTAACGTTCAGAAGAGGCTAGCATTTGTCAAACAGTTAGTTAATAAATCAATAGATTTCTGGAAAAACGTCACAGATGAGTCGTTCAAATAAAAGAAGACGATTGATAAAATAAAATTGATATGCAGCGAAGTCGGAGCAGCTTTTAATCCATGCATAATTACATAGATCAACAAACATCGAGAAGATCCTGTCTTAATGTGAGATTTCTTTTCATTTGTTGCTGTTAGCAATTTCTGTTTCATAGACGGCACATTGACAAGGCAAGGGTACGTGGATATTTTGCAACAAAAACTGATGGAATCAGCTGAGAAAATGGACATTAACGATTCATTTATTTTTCAAATGGACAACGGTCCGAAATACACGTGTAAAATTCCAAAGAAATAGGTACTATTGTATAATGAAAATAACATTAATTTACTGTCATGGTCCTAGTCTTAACCCGATCGAACACTTATGGGATCATTTGGATAGAAACATATCCGAGAATTGCAGAAATAATAAACAATTGTTTCAAAACGCGTCGTTAAAAGCATTGCATGAAATTGATCACAATATTCTTACGAAATTAGTGAAATGTATGCAAAAAAACTTGAGACAATTATTAGTAATCATGACTATCAAACTTCGTATTAAGAGTGTATTTTCGATCATTTTAATTTTTGTTTCTGCACCTAATCAGTCTTTGTCAAATTACTTTCCCCACACGTATAATACAAATTATTTGTTGTTTTTCAGTTAATAAACATCTTGTACAGTTTATTTTTAAATATATGTTTTCTTAATTACTGTTGATCAATATTTATGAATTATATCCTCAATTCAATGCAAAGTTTCGATTTAGCACAGAAAATTGGTGCTTGTCAACACACTTTCCGCGGCGAATGTGCGTTTAGTAATTGTGTGTTCCACAATTTCGTGAGATCTCGAGACGCTGTTAAGGCTCGTTGTGTTACAGTAGACTTTTTAGACAGTATGCCGTCATCGTTTGAGAATGGATTACCCGGCATTATTTAGTAACACCACCCCAGACACCGAATGTATGCGTAACCAATTCAACACTTGTGAGCAAAAATGAAAAGAAATATTTGCTAATCATTGCCGAAGAATCGTGATGAATTAAATAAAATAATTTATAGAGGAATGGAGAAAAATACCACCGGACGTTACAGAAAAAGTTACTAAAATCAATGCACAACCGACTAAAAGCCATTAAATTGCATAACAATAATTTCATTAGTTTGTAGGCGGGCGAAGACTTTTACGTGCAAGTTTTTCTCACTACATTAAAATATTTTATTTCATTTTCCATTTTGTCTAATAATTATGAATCCCGCGAAATGCCATTTCACTTTGTGCAAACACAACTTTATTTCTACATTTCCTTCTCATATGTTAAGTACATGCTTTCCTATTTTTACCTACATGTACACTGAACGTGGTAGATGGACCAACACGCGTGCAACCGACTGCTACTAAAAAGGTAAAGGTAAAAGGAACGACGGTTCTGTTAAGGACGTGGATGAGGAGCAAACCACCAGTTAAACATGTTTTTAAGCATATCTTTCGGATGCAAGGTATTTTACAGGAATTATAACGTTGCTAGGAAGACATTTTACGAAAGGTCAAGGACAGCAGTTTTTATTGGATATTCAAAAAACAGAAAGGAGGATATATGGTGGGATTATGGAAGCTTGACCGGCCCGATTCGATCATGCGAGCAGATGTCGTGTCACCCTAGGTCCAGTCAAATACATTATTTTTATAGTTGTTGATAATCGACAGATATGAAAACGAGCCGCGAGTCTCGAATAATCGTATCTTCTCTTCCCAAGTTGTCCACTTTCGTTTCCAAGCTGAGGGACAATTTGGGAGAATTTACTGTAATAGTTACGATCAGCTGACGACCTTCGTTGATAGCATGTTACAGACATCCTCGTCTCTTGATGATTGATAAACCCGTGCAGGTTAACTTTTGTGTCATTATACAATGCTCGTATTATATTATGTGTGTTATATTATATTGTGTTATAATGCTTGTGTCTGTAAACATCGCCGTTTTTTATATATATATAGCTCTTAAATCATCTAACATTAGCAATGGCCGCCTTCCAAGATCATTTCCCTTTCCTCCAATTATTTTTCTTAGCATGTCCTAGAGTCTTTCTCGTAGCTTCATAAAATAAGAATTTCTCCTAACAACAAATATCCTTTGCGATATACTGTGATAATAACCAGCTGATGAATCTCCAACCATAATACAGCGCACACAGATCTTAACGTTCCAACTCTCGTCACGCACGGGGGTGAACGTAAAAATATGATTAGACTTCGAATTTTAAACATTTATGGCAGAAATGAGTTGTTTCAATTTAAAATGGTAAAGAGATTGAAAGAATTAAAACATGTCATTGCATTAGTTACAATTTAATAAAATTATTCAAAAAGGATAAACTTCGTATTTAGTTCCTATATCTTGCAATTGACGTAGACAATTTCTATTTTGCATAAAAATCCGCGGTCTAGTTAGAATAAACATACAATACATGCATACCATACAATAATTTCTCTCACATTGTCCCTCAGCTTGGAAACGAAAATGGGCAACTTGATATGGATAATAATCGTATCTCCTCTTCCTAAGTTGTCCACTTTCGTTTTCAAGTTGAGGGACAATGTGAGAGAAATTACTGTTCTTCTAAGTGAAATTCTTCGCTACGAAAGCCTTTCTACGTTCGTTGTTTTCTCCGAATTCACGCTTATTTCTTAATATGAAGCGACTGTCAACGATATTTGCACCCTTTGGTTCCTTGAGGATCTCCCAAGTATCATTCGATATGAGCCTCGCGATCTTTGAGAGAATATCATTTTCTCATTCTCACTGAAATTTCAGCACATTCAGCGAAATTTGCAAATGCGTTTTCTGTTTTCTTTGGATTAACCAATTGTACGTCGTCCTCTACCTCATCCGAGTATACGGTTCTGTATAACCCCAACCCCCGTGGTCGGTCATATTTCTTATATTAATAATAGATTACGTTAGTATTAGATTACATTAATAATAGATACGTGATATGTGATTCCTTACAGTAATCATAGATTATATATAAAAAATACTAATCAAATTTCCGCAATAGATTACAGGCAGCATAGTGAGACGAGAGTGCAAGATGTCAGTTTTACGAAAGAAGAAGAAAAATTGACAGAGAATGCGATTGAGACAGTTACAAGAGGGAAAGATACGAACAAAGAGAACGGGTGAAAGAAGAAAATGAGCGAGAATTGCAAGTATGAAGATCATTATAAGTGAAGATCATTATTAGCTATAATATATGGAAAGCAGTTGAAGAACTGAAGGTTCAAAAGATAATTAGAAGCAAATGTGTCTTTGCGAAGAAGAGAAATTGGGTTTGGTCGCTGATAGATCGAGACAGCAAATAAACAGTGATTATGAAAGTTCATACAACTCAGTTATGAAAAAGTAATCATTATGAACATTGTTATCAGTAGCAGTTATTAATAAATATTACGTTAAATTTATTGATGTCGAGACCGCTTATCTGAATAACAAACCGAAGAGGAATGTATACATGAAATTTTTACAAAGAGTCAATATTGAAGGAGCGGAAGTTCTCGAAATTCGGAAGAATTCATATGGTTTGCCAGAAGTGGGAATGTGCTGGTATAAAAAATTAATCAGAATCTTTTTGTTACGGATATTTATATGTAATAATTCATGAAATTAGTACATGCAATAATTGATAAAAATTATGGTATAATAAACAAATTAATATTGGAGTAAGGAGAACAACTAATGATTACAAATTTAATTCTGAGAATTCTGAGAATTTTCTATTACATCAAAGTAGGTTCATAGATGAAATCTTGAGTCAGTCAATATACAGAGCGATGTACATACATATATGTATATGTTAGTGCCAATATACAGGACATCGTCAAAACGCCAGATGTGTTAGGAATGAGACTGGATAAGTACTAGAATTCAAAAAGAGTTGATGACATTTTGCACTACGAAATTCTATTGGATACCTAGTATTTTCGAAAAGGGTGTATCTTCAAGAAGTGTATCTCAGGTGACCAGTCAGTTGAGTGCATGTATCAGATCAAAATATTTCACGATAGAATCAACGGAAAGTAAACTTTTGTAATAACAATTTAATATATCT